GTATATATAATAATAATATATATATATATATATATATATATATATATATATATATACTTATAATATATGTATATATATAAATATATATATTTATATTTATATTTATATATGGGGCTGTACTTACGCACTCGTCTCTAGCATGAGTGCACACACCTCACTCTTATATAGTTTTGTACATATGCATGCGACTACATAGATATGTAAGTGATAAGTGATATTCCTTTGTTGTGACAACTGGCTTCTTGTAGCCCACCACACCTCATTGAGACTGGTGTGTATATACACTGTATATATCGTCTCACTGTTCGGTACATTCATTCCAACCGTCGCGTGCGCATGCAGTCACCACGCGTATAATCAGCATCCCACAAGCGACCAGCCTATTCTATGTTGACAGCACAGATACTCAAACACTCCTCTTTAATTGTCCACTACTGCAAACCCTGTAGTTACACGCAGAGGCAACTACCACGCGTATAGCCAGCATCCTACAAGCAGCCAGCCTATCCATGTGGAAAGTGGTGTCCAAGAACAAGAACTCGGGAAACCCTTACCGTCAAGGGCTGCGGGCGTATGTGGGGGTGTTCTTACACCCGTGTGTACTCTCCCACACCCGTCTGTTCGACCACCCGCTGGTACAAAGTGCAGTGTCTCTGGTGTGGCAGGCGGGTGAGGATAAGGAGGGTACCGTCAACTACGTTGCAGAGTATCTGCTGGGCTATCTGCAAGGTGTGCGTGTGTTATATATGTGTTATCTACAAGGTGTGTGCGTGTGTGTGTTACATATGTGTTATCTGCAAGGTGTGTGTGCCTGTGTGTTACATATGTGTTATCTACAAGGTGTGTGTGTGTGTGTTATATATGTGTTATCCGCAAGGTGTGTGTGTGTGTGTGTTACATATGTGTTATCTACAAGATGTGTGTGTGTATCACATGTGTGTTGTCTGCAAGGGGTATGCGTGTGTGTTACATATGTTTTATCTACAAGGTGTGTGTGTGTGTGTTACATATGTGTTGTCTGCAAGGTGTGTGTGTGTGTGTTTTACATATGTGTTATGGTTGATATAAGTGGTACGTCTACATTGTTATGTATATAGAGCATACTGTATGATATGTTGAGATTGTGTGTGTATATGTTACGGATGTAATATGGTTCATATAAGGTATGCGTCTACATTATTACGAATATTGTATATGTTATATGTGTACATACCATCGCAAACGCTCATAATATTTTGTAGGTAAGGTGTGTTGATAGTCCGGGGTCTTTTAACATGTGAACCGGCAGTGTGCACGTACTATAGCCGCGGGTGGTTGGTGGTTGTATTCACTAGCTATACTTGTATCTCCGGGGTGTAACATAGTACAATGCTCATACTTTGTCCACTCATACTTAGTCCACTGCAGCCCATCCGATACGCCACAATAGCACACAGGAGCCGTACACGCACACTATCTTCCCATAAGGTGTCCCTTCGGGGTCCCGCAGTCTTAAACTTAGTTTATAAGACTTACTTTAGCATAACAGAGGTTCTCGGGTTTCGTAGTCTTAAACTTGGTTTATAAGACTTACTTTAGCATAACAGAGGTTCGCGTGCGCATGTATACTCACAGTCTGGTCCTACGTAAGCCTCGCCTATAGCCAGCTGCATATCCTCAGCCCACCCAACGGCACTCCCAGAACTCATTGTACCGTGCCCGTGTATCCGTCCCCCCTGTCACCCGCAGCACCCGACACACCCCCACACCACGCCGCCCGGGTACACGCGCACTATCTCCCACTGACTGTCCGCATGTGTGCGTACGGCCCGTTGGTTGCGAAGGGTGAGCGAGGCGAGCCTCTCACCCACATACTGATACCTGGCAAGGCACCAACGGTCAGCAAAGACCAAGACGTGCGTCTCAGGACACTCGCGTATGTGTGTGGCCTGGATAAGTACACCGTGCACACACGGCGGCGTGGGGATACCGCAGGTGCTTGTGCACGGGACGACACGGATACTACCAGGGAGTGTGTGTATGGGAGCGTAGAGCGTGCGGCCGAGAGTGAGAGACTGGGTATGGTGAAAGTCATGCGGGCCTTGATAGCCAATATCGCCGCACGAGCGCAGGAGAAAATGCCACAGACGACCAGCGCGCTGGTGAGACAGGGTCAAGCGGTGCTTATACTCTTGCCTAAGTTTGCGAGGCCTCGAGACGACAGGACGGGAGAATTGAGAGCACGCGAGGATCTGGAGATAGTCACAGACCTTCTGCAGATTGTGATGGTGGTGCTCACACAGACGGACAAGGTCGCTCCAGGTGAGTTAGGTTGCCGGATGATCCATTCTAGTCACATGTATT